AGGCAAACTAAAGCAATGAACCATATATGACAGTATAACAGGTGGATGACTTGTCCACATTTAGAAAATGATGGTTGATCTTATTATGTAGAATGTTTCAGTGTGTTGACCACGATAGAACCAGTCACCACTCTGTCAATCAGTTTTTATGTAGATCCACAAAGGAGCTTTGAAATCAGGACAAAAAATTGCTTCCCATCTCCTTTTTAAGGGAAACATAAACGTGAAATGAGCAAAGACAAAATGAGAATTTAGTTAATCTAGCAGGTCAGATGAATTACTTGGTGAATTTTAAAATGACTGCATATGAGTGTAAACAGGCAAGCAAAACGCTTACATCGACTTAGTTAAATGAATTTACAGAAGAATCTAAGTAAAAGGTATAACCACTTGCAGTATAAGCACATCTCCAAAACGTTATCTGTTTTCCTTACTAATGAACTAAAAGCCAGGGATGAAGGATCACGCTGTGGAAGTGAGCCATGTGATCACATGCTTTCCCCTTCCTCTGCCCTATGACAGGAACGCCTGCTGTTGATTTTGTATGAGGCAGAGTTTCAACTAGGCACATCTGAAGAACTCTGGAAGCCCTGGGCTGAGCGACTGCTTGGCTTCAGAAAGGAAAATCACATGTATGTGACTTAATGTCATGTTACAGTGAGTCCACTCAGCACACATGACACAGTTACCCTGCCTGTGTACTGTAAGGCCAGCCTATCAGCTTTGCTGTCCCTGTGCAGATCATTCCTGTGCGCCCAAATCCTATGCAATGAGCACTGGACCTCTGCACATCCGTGACTGATCAATCGAGTATGCAAAAAATAGACCTGCTGCAAAAACACAAAAAATTCTGTGTTATAAAGGACATCTGGAAATCGCAGTGCTAGCTGATGGGTTTTGAGATGGCGCTGCTTCCATTGGTGCAGCAGCAAGGGACTAAGGGGCTATTCAAAGTAAGGCAACAGTGAGCAGATCAGATGAATTCAGGTAAGGGCCAGCACCCTTGGGGAACATAATTTCAGGCCCACATATTAAAAACTTTGAAAAAGATTAAGTAAAATGCAGAGAGACAAAATGGCAACCATAAAGATCTCAGCACAGCCTCATTAATTTCCTTAGAAACTAGTCTACATTATTAAGAACTATCATCAGCATTAACAAATTAATTTGTCACAGATTGGCAAAAAAAAAAAAAGCTAGAAGATACATCCCTCCTCTTTTCTTAAAAACAGTGAGCAATGAGGTTTTGTTTTTGAACATTTGCTCCATGTTCAGTTTGAAAAAAATGTTCCATAAATAAAGAAAACTGAAATTTACAGAGAAAATTACAAGCACCTTATAGAGACTAGGCATCCAGAGTCTCCTCCCACTCAGAAAAGCAAGTTAGCAATTTTAAAGTCATCTAACTAGACTAGTCTGTAGAAGTACATTTTTACAGACTTTTAATTGTACCACTTGTAGCACCATCCTTTGCTGATTTTCACTGTGAACTCTTCCTAATGCTTTGTGCCAGAAAACTGGAAAATAATTTTTTCTATGTGTGTTTTGCTGTTGTATGTCTTAACAGACATGGCTTCCAGAGCGTTTTTTTTCAACTGACAAAGCAATATGCAAAGTACAGTGGCTGAAAGCACAGGGAAGGACCTGAATACTCCGCAAAATAAGCACTGTATACAGAATGAAGCATTTTTCTGAGTTTGAGGAATGCTACTTCTCTCACAGTTAGGGTTCTCACAGGAGCCAACACTGCGCAGAAAGAGTATCCTGAAGGTCAGACACGGCAGGTGAATGTACCCATAGACATGAACACATTAATACAGATTACCCTGAGAGACTAAAAAAGGGCTAAACTGGAATTCCAAAGAAAACTGACTCAAAGCGACCTCCTGATACACGTTATTACGTTACATATTAGCCACACACAGCTGAATTACTATGAAAAGTAGACATCGTAACAACACTCACTTAGAAGAAAGATCTCTGGTTAAAAATGATGCTTTCTGAGCCAAATCTTCCATTAATTTCAAGTCATCCTCATCCATCATGTCCAGTGGAAGAGCATCTTCCTCCTCTTCTTTGTCCTGTTTTTCAGCTATTTTAGAAGACAACAAATACAGATTAATATTCTGTACATATATTTAAACTGCCTACTTCTGTCAGGTAATTTTAGACCTCACTTCAACCTTGATCTCATCAATCTTCACAAACATTGGGCCAAAAAATCTTATCCCAGAAAACTGCCCTTTTATTGATCCCAGAAAACTGCCCCTTTATTGAAACACACAATGCTGATTATAGCAAACCTGGTTCTACCATCTCTGTCAGATCTTTTGTTGCCAAAAAGGCTGTTTTGTGTTTTTCATAACTTTCTTTCTTTCTTTTAACAAGAAGAGCAATTATTTATGCACGCGAAATTAAATTTTGATTTTCTGAAACAATTTTACAACATAAAGAGCAGGATACTAGTAAACCTCACACCTTTGCCTTCCTCTACAAAGAAAAAGCCTGAGATGTTAATAAATTCACTGCTCATAACAAAAAAGCACTTACCAACATGTTTTTTCTTGTATTCCTCCAATGGAACAGGTTTTCTACAGACAGCATCTCTGACAGCCTGCCTTAGCTTCTTTTGTTCTTTTCGATACTTCTTAGCAGCACTCTGCTGCTTATATTGCTTGTTCTTTAGTTTGTTGTCGAGTTTTATTTTACTAGTTCTCAATAACTTGCGAAAGCTTGGAACTCGTTTTGTGTTTTTTCTCTATGAAACAAACAGAAAACTACAAGTAACTGACTTGTTTGTAGCCCTTGTAAAATTTAATTTCACTATTTCATGTCTCACTAAGCACATATTTCCATCAGTGCTGAACAACTTGTTCCTTCCAAATGGTATCATCAGCTCAGCAAGTTTACCCAACTATGTTAAATGAATGAGAAGACAGACATTTCTCTTTTTTACAGAAACATTCTTTAACAATTCTTTTATTAAGCATAATACTCATCCACTTTCAGACACAGAAAAAATATGGATATTCAAAGTGTGGCATACAAATAGCCAAGATTCAGTTCTTTGGCTTGCGCACTCCCAAGCACTCCATCTCCTTTCTTCATGACGCTGTTCTTCCCTAGCCCACAGTAAGTAAGGTTAGGGACTCTGGTACAAGGCTACAGCCTCAGGCAAATGTCCTGATGCAGCACCCTCCTGTCCCAAGCTCTCCACGACAGCTATGACATGTGGAAGAGCCCAGGCTGCCCTCAGCAAGGCTCAGAACTGTGTGATGGAGAAGCTGTGAATGGGCTGCGGGTGCCAAGGATCATGGAGCCACAGCGGTCAGGAGGAGGAGAGGAAGGAGAAAGCCTGGATGCACAGATCAGTATGGGCACAATGGGCCAAAAAATGCAAAACACTCCAAGAAGCATTCAGGATCCTGAAAACGGACACGGTTTACATAATGAGCAGCGTGGGAAGGTAGGAACTGGAGTTAAAAAAAAAAAAGAGTGATTTTAGAGTTTTGGTGAGGAAAGATGTGTCTCCTTGGTAAAGAGATAGGTGACCGAACCAGTGTGGAGCTCTTAGGTCTGGAATTTTTGTCGGTTCACCTTCAGTTTCCCCTTTTAGTTTTAGCTGTTGGGAAAGAG